GACCAGGGCAGGAAAAAATATCTCCTAAAAAGATCCTGAATGATACATCTAAAATTACAGAAATTGTAAGTAATAGCAAGGAAATGTGTTAGATTATCTTTTGTTTTAGCTTGTGAATTTTCCCCTATGCTGAGAGGTAATTTTATTCCTGTTTTGTAACTGGGAAGTAAAGTCAGAGGGGAATCCTCTGGGTTTTGAATCTTTTTATTTACCCTGCAACGTTATCTTCCATCCTGATTTTGCAGGTGTGATTCTTTTACTTCTTTTTTTAAATAAGTAAAAAGTGATTTTATTAAATACAGAAAGTAGGATTTAAGTGGTTCCAAGTAGTAACAAGCAGAACAAAGTGAATTACCAAGCAAAATAAAATAAAACATGTAAGTCTAAGCCTAGTATAGTAATAAAACTGAATACAGATAAAATCTCACCCTCAGAGATGTTTCAATAAGTTTCTTTCACAGACTGGACTTTCACAGACTTCCTAGTCTGGGCACAATCCTTTCCCCTGGCACAGCCCTTGTTCCAGATCAGGTGATAGCTATGGGATTTCTCATGACTGCAGCCCCCTTTGTTCTGTTCCACCCCCTTATATAGCTTTGGCACAAGGTGGGAATCTTTTGTCTCTCTGGGTCTCCCCCCCCTCTTCTAAAAGGCAAAGCACCAGGTTAAAGATGGATTCCAGTTCAGGTGACGTGATCACATGGCACCGAAAGACTTCATTACCCCCTTGCCAGCACACACGTATACAGGAAGACTTACAAGTAAAACAGAGCCATCTACAGACAATTGTCCTGGTTAATGGGAGCCATCAAGATTCCAAACCCCCATTAATGGCCTACATTTTGCATAATTACAATAGGCCCTCAGAGTTATATTTCATATTTCTAGTTTCAGATACAAGAATGATACATTCATACAAATAGGATGAACATACTCAGTAGATTATAAGATTTGTAACGATACCTTACAAGAGACCTTTTGCATGAAGCATATTCCAGTTACATTATATTCACATTCATTAGCATATTTTCATAAAATCATATAGAGTGCAACATCACACCCTCCTCCTGAACTTACTGCCAGAGACTTGGACACTGACCATGGCGGAGGCAGTATACCTAAAATTCATTTTTGGGCTCCCCTCTGGGACAGACACTCCTGTGTCCCCCAAAAGAGAAAGAGACCCGGATCCAGCTGTGAGCTCACAGCTACCAGCTATGACAGACCTTTCACTGGCCAATAAAATCCCTCCCCCTTCACTCAGGTTGGGCTTGCTTCCAGCTACAGAGTCCTTGGGGTTTGTTCCCACCGCAGCAGTCACCAGGACCCCAACTTCCAGCTCCAGAATACATGTCTCTGTGCACCTCTTCCACTTCATTACAGCCAGTTCATGCTTCTGGGTCTTAATTGCTTTGTCTTTTAAATCCAGGGTTTGCTGGTGGGCAGCCTTTTCTTTTTCCAGGGCAGCCTTTTCCCATGCAAATTGCACATCAATTTCCATTTGTTTTCCCTTTAGACCATCACTCGATGAGCTGGCATACCACAGAGAACCCCCTCCTGCCAGAACAGGCACCCCTCCACTCCTGTCTTGCTAAGTTAGACACTCCAGTCAGCTTCAGCACAGACACAGAGATTGGGCCACACCCATCTGCAGTGTCAGGGTTCCCTCCCCACTCTTAACTCTGGGGTACAGATGTAGGGACCGGCATGAAAGACCCCCTAAGCTTATTTCTACCAGCTTAGGTTAAAAACTTCCCCAAGGCACAAATCCTTTCCTTGTCCTTGAACGGTATTGCTGCCACCACCAAGTGATTTAAACAAACATTCAGGGAGGGGCCACTTGGAGCCCTATTTCCCCCCAAAATATCCCCCCAAACCCCTTCATCCCCTTTCCTGGGGAGGCTTGAGAATAATATACCAACTGATAGGTTAACAAGTGAGCAAAGACCAAATCCCTGGTTTTTAGGACACTAAAAATCAATCAGGTTCTTAAAAGAAGAATTTTATTTAAAAAAAAGCAAAAGAATCACACCGGCAAAATCAGAATGGAAGATAACTTTACAGGGTAAATAAAAAGATTTAAAACCCAGAGGATTCCCCTCTGACTTTGCTTCCCAGTTACAAAACAGGAATAAAATTACCTCTCAGCATAGGGAAAATTCACAAGCTAAAACAAAAGATAATCTAACACATTTCCTTGCTATTACTTACAATTTCTGTAATTTTAGATGTATCATTCAGGATCTTTTTAGGAGATGTTTTTTCCTGCCCTGGTCCTCTCTCTGTCTCAAGAGGGAACACACACATAAGAGAACAAACAAAGCCTCCCCCTGATTTGAAAGTATCTTCTTTCATCATTGGTCCTTCTGGTCAGTTGCCAACTAGGTTAATTGAATTGATTAACCCCTTATAGATAAGTGATTCTGTACCTCTGGCCAAGAGGGATTTTATATTACTGCATACATAAAGGTTGTTACCCTTCCCTTTATATTTATGACAGTATTACATCTAGAAGGCCTTACTAAGATCGAGAGCTCTCCATCCCACTGCACTAATCCCAACTCGGACCCCCTTTGTCCCACTTAGGGTGACCAGATGTCCAATTTTATAGGGACAGTCCCAATTTCTGGGTCTTTTTCTTATATAGGCTCCTATTACCCCCTACCCTGTCCCAATTTTTCACACTTGCTGTCTGGTCAACCTAGTCCCACTGGGCACTGCACTGACCCCGACCGGGGCCCCCCATCCTGCTGGGCACTGCACCGACCCCGACTGTGATTAGAACCCTTCTGTGCTGGGAGCTGCACAGACCCTGACTGCCACTGGACCCCCTTGTGCTGGGAGCTGCATAGACACATTTTAAAACACAGTCTCTGCACCCACAAGCACTTGAAATCTAAATAAACAGACAGATAAAGGGTGGTAAGGGGACATAGAGGCAAGGTGACTTGTCCAAGGTAACACAGGAGGTCGGTAGTAGAGCATCCGAGGAATTTTATCTCCCAGTCCCCTGGCTCTAACCACTAAACAACATACCCCTCCCAGAGACGGGAATAGAACCCAAGAGTCCCAGTCCCCCAGTCCCGTTCTGTTTTAACCATAATGTTGTCATACAACACCCATTGCAGGCATCAATGTCAAAAACACACAAACAGCACACACGAGAGGCTCTGAATGAGACGGTTCCATGCTTTTCCAATCTATTCAAAGCAAACCATGCAGCCAATGACAAGCAGCTTCCATCCAGCATCTCTTGCACTCATTCACACTCACTCCCTTTACTCCTCAGAGAGATTCTTCTTTAAATCATCTTCTTCAAGGAGTGCAGAGAGTGTGATGGTTATTAACCAGGAAGTTGGGTACAGAAGGAAAGATGAGCCCAGATTCCATACCAGAGAAGAATTCCTCCCATTGTAGGAAACACTGGGACAAGGGGCAGCTGAATTTTAGGGGATTAATGGTGATCAATCCCACCAGTAATGTCACTGCTGTGTCCTGGAGAGGTGGGTGGCAAATGGTTTTCTGGTCCTGCTAATAGTTTTGAGAGTTCAATTTTTTTTCTCATCTCGAATCAGGACAAAAAGGTCAAAAATCCTGAAAACATTCACAAACTGAACAACAAAACCTTTTCTGGGTTTGGGTCTGTGGAAATATTTTCTTTGGATTTCAACCTTTTCTCTTTATTAAGCGGTTTTAGGCCTAATTAGCTTAAATTTCTAAACAAAAAGTTGTTTCCAACCAAACCACCCGAAATTTTCATTTAGAAAAATGTTGGAACGAAAAATGTCGACAATTTCAAAAAAAATGCCCTCTACATTTTGTTGAGTCAGGAAATGTGTTAAAACGGACCTTCTTTCAGCATCAACGAATGGGAATTTCTCAACAAATCTTTTTTCATCAAAAAATGCCTAACCAACTCTAATGTCATGTGGGCTGTGTACAGCAGGATGCAGTACCACCTGCTCCCACTGGAGGAGCTGCTCTTAGGTCTGTAGTACACCTGGCTGGCACCAGGGGAGTTCTGATCCTTCAGCACATGGATTGCTGGGAGCAGAGGGGAGAGGCATAGAGTAAGAGATGCAGGCTTCAATGGGGCCATTGCAACTCAGATTGTAAGGCAGTATGCACATGCTCCTTGAAGCCAATGCTGGCTTGGGTAATGCAGAGAGTCAGACTAGATGATCAGAATGGTCCATTCCAGTCTATGAAATGGGAAGAGCAGGTCTGAAAACAGACTGAGATCTGAGTTTCCACATTCAGGCCCTGTATTAGAGTCAGTCTGTGAGTGCAGAAAGGAGTCAAATTTCATTGTGGGGACCTAACTCTGTAAGGTATTTATACAGTCCCCATTACATTAACAGCCCTCTTTTTACAAATGGGGAAACTGAGGCACAGGAAAACTAAGGCCCAGATCCTTAAAGGTTTTTAGGCACCTAGCTCCCATTGATTTCAAACAGCAACTTACCCAAGAGGTCTATGTCCGAGAAAGGAATAGAGCCCTGGTCTTCAAAGTCCTCAGCTAGGACCCTAAGCATTGGTCCCTCCATCACAACAACAAAAAATTACATGCAGCAATAAGGCTCCATACAGCAGCAGCTGAAGTTGAACCCTAGACTTTAAAGACTGCCAGTACAAACTGATATCATTTGAGCTACAGGAGAAGAGATAAGTAGGGCTGTAAATCTTCCTGCTTCTGGCCATAATGCAACTGGGGTTCAGGAGGAAATGGTCACGGGGGCACTCAGATGGGCACACTGGTCTGATCTGGTTTGGCAATTCTGATGTCCCTATAGCAATAGCCCCAAACCCCACATCATCATTGCTGTGAGCTGCAGCTCTAAGAGTGGCTCCTGCAGCCCCTTTTTCAAATAAGGGCTCACATGCCATCAAGTTAGTGGGAGGGTTTGTTTGACGTATGACGTGATATTTACCAAGGTTCAACAAACAGATGAGAAATACAGGGACAATAACATAAGCTGCCGGAAAACTTCTGCATTTTTACCTCCTTCCCTCCTGCCTGGGCAAAAATTGGATTAAAGACGAGAGAAGCAAAGCCACACGGGGATGGAGCGCAGAAGGTTATAAAGTTACGCTAGTCTTTGGAGAAGGACAATGCAGGTTATTCTCCATATGGAACTCACTCAGGTACAGTAGCTGTTGCCCACTTTCCAGGCATGTGTTAGGCGCTGGTGAGGTTTTATTAATGCAGCACTTTGGAAAGTAGGGTGGGCTTATGGGTAAGGTGCTAGGTTAAGCTGGGTCACTGGACAGCTTTATTCGCTTCCCAGCTCTGTCACCAACTCCCTCTGTGACCTTGGAGACAGTATGGATTAGTGCAGTAGCTCTCAACCTTTCCAAACTACTGTATCCCCTTTCAGGAGTCTGATTTGTCTTGCATGCCCCAAGTTGCACCTCCCTTAAAAACTACTTGCTTACAAAATCAGACCTAAAAATACAAAAGTGTCCCAGCACGCTGTTACTGAGAAATTGCTCACTCTCTCATTTTTACCATATAATTATAAAATAAATCCACTGGAAGATAAATATTGTACTTACCTTTCAATGTATAGTATATAGAGCAGTATAAACAAGTCATTGTCTGTATGAAATTTTAGTTTGTACTGACTTCACTAGTGCTTTTTATGTAGACTGTTGTAAAACTAGGCAACTAACTAGATGAGTTGACATACCCCCTGGAAGACCTCTGGGCACCCCAGGGGTATGCATACCCCTGGTTGAGACCCACTGGTCTAGTGGATAGAGTACTGGCCCATCTCCACATTACCTTGTAACCTATGTTCATCTGGAAGGCTGGTGCTCACTGTATAGTTCTGTACCTGCTGGAAGTGGGGATTCTATTCCTGGCTCAGCCACTGGCCTGCTGGTCAGTTTGGGCAAGCCGCATCACCACCCTGTGCCTCAGTTTCCCTGTCTGTAAAATGTAAACTTGTGGCGTGCTTTGAGCTGCCTGGCTGAAACGGGATGTACAAGAGCTAGGGGGGTTATCATCTCAGCTTCCCCACACGTACGGTCCTGCATTGTGCAAGTAGCTTGTAATCTCCTCGGGACAGAGACTCCCTCCCAAACTGTGTGTATGAAGAAGGGGGGTGTCTGTATTGGGAAGAAAACGTAGCCGTGCTAGGTTGTTTTCCTCTCCAGACATCCTCCCTGTGCTAAACACCATCAAATGCGGCTTGCAGCGTTTAAAATGCGGTGTGATTTACAAAAGAATGAGTCATTTTGCTCTCCAGAGCCATTCACTGCTAAAGGACACAGCACATGCCCTGCAGAATTTGCAAGGGACTTTCTGTTTTCTAAATAAATAAGTTGCATGGTCAAATGGCTCAGGCACTAATGTGAACGCAGCACAGCTCGGTTCAATTCCCAGCTCTGCTACTGAGCTGCTGTGTGGCCTTGGGCAAGTCCCTGTCCTGCTCTCTGCCTGTTTCTACGCCCACCCTTTGTCTATTTTGATTGCGAGCCCTTTGGGGCAGACTGTCTGCCATTATGTATTTGTGCAGCACCTGGCACGACAGGGTCCTGATGTCAGTTGGGGTCTGTGCCATGCCCAGCACAACAGGGCCCCAATTGTGGTCGGGGTCTGTGCAGCACGTGGCAGAACAGGGTCTTCACCCTGATGAGGGTCTGTGCAGCACCCAGCCCAGCAGAGTCCCAATCTGAGTCAGGGTCTGTGACGCACACAGCGCGATACGGGCCTCAATCATGGTCAGCATCTGTGTAGTTCCCAGCTTGTCATGGCCTTAATCTGGGTTAATGTCATAAATGTAACTTTGGTGGAGCTACGCTGATTTACAACAGCTAAAAATCCAGCCTACAGCCCAGGCCACCAGCAAGCACAGCATTGAAACCAAAACCTAACTGCACAGCTAAGTAAATAATCATTGTCAATTAGAGGCATATTTGAGCCAATTAGAAGCAATGGGGCCTTGCGTTGTGATAGCGAAGGAGTTTGTCCATATGGCTGATGCTCTCCAGACGACAGACCTCAGAGGCCTCATTGTGGGTCACCCTTGTTCACATGATCCTTGTATTCCTACCGGTAATTAGAATGATGCTTGCTGGCCTTGAGGTAATGATGGGAGCAGTCTGCTCCCTGCCATAGGTTGGCCTGGTCATGTAGGGCGGGGCCTCTGCTTTCAGAGAGTATGGGAGCAGGGGCGGCTCTATGTATTTTGCCGCCCCAAGCACAGCAGGCAGGTGGCTTTCAGCGGCATGCCTGCGGAAGGTCTGCCGGTTCCGCACCTTTGGCGTACCCGCCGCCAAATTGCCACCGAAGCCGCAGGACCGGCGGACCTCCCACAGGCATGCCACCGAAGGCAGCCTGACTGCCGTCCTCACGGTGACCTGCAGGCCGCCCCGGTGCGGCTTGCTGCCCCAGGCACGCGCTTGGTGCGCTGGTGCCTGTGGCCACCCCTGTATGGGAGTCAAGCAACATTACAAACTAGACAATGAGAAACAAGTTAGGAGCCAAGCCCAGGGAGGGCTGGGAGTCAGGACTGTGGGGTTCTACCCATAGTTCTGGGAGAGGAATAGAGCGTACCTATTGCAGGTAGTGGGATCCAAAATCTAAAGGCCCGCCCCCTCAACTGAGGGGGATGTCGTGGAAAGAATCACCCACGCAGTGATTTTAGTTCACAGACTCAGAGCCTGAGGCCTTTATTGCAATACATACCAGTGCGCACTGGGGTGAGGTCCGAAGACCAACACACCGAGCCCCACACGCAGGCGGGCTTTTATTCCATTAAACCACAAGCAAGGTACAAACAATACGTCATGAGTTAAGAAATTAGGGACCAATTATAAGCAGGACATGGGGTGAACACGAGCTCGGGAGCAAATCATAGGCCGGGGATGGGGTGAACACGCGCCGGTCACGAGCTAGGGTGTTGGGGTTGGGGTCACTCTTCCCTCCTCCCCTCGCCTACTTTCTCAATTTCCGAGGAGTGGGCGTTCGGTGGTTTTCCGCAGGGGTGGTGCTCGGCCCTAGCTTGGGTACATTTCTTAAGACTTGGTATATGTCATTTTCCGGGGGGATTGTGACAAGGGCTAAGGGGGGCTTTTCAGGAGATGCTTAAAGAGGAACTATTATAGGTTATTTGCAGATAGCTACAACTGCAAGAGTGATTAGCTCTTTGCAAAAGCAATTTCTTAATGTATTTCATAAACTTGCGGTTAATATATTTTGTGTTTCTTTCCTTCCTCTCTTTCCTTCCTCTGTGACTACTTTTGTCTGGGTTTTGGCAGAAAATTGATTTGAGCAGTATTGTTTAGGCTTTTAGGCCTTCTCTACTCTGCACAAAGGTCACCATCATGACAGCCTTCTGTTGGAGGTGTTTTGGGGCCTGTAGGCCCAGAACTTTCGCTATCGGAAAGAAGGCCCCCCCTGTTCTGTTCCTCCACAGGGAGAAGCCACTGAATCCAGCCGGCAAGCGAATATGAGGGACAAAAAATGAAAAAAATAGGGCAGGAGGGAAGGTCAAAGGTTGAAAACCAGGGATTCCCAAGGGGACACCGAGCAGAGAACCCCTGGCAGCACCCACCACTCCTCAAAGGTGTCTAAAGAGTTAATGGACACCACCCGGGGGAACTCTGCCCAGAGAATGATCAGACGAGGGACAGGAAATAGTCCCGTGACTGGCAGAGTGCACTCCACCCACAAAAACCCTCCCCTGTCAAGCTTCCTCCTCCTGGTTTGGTGGATGGCCACCAGGAGGAGGTTGACAAGGAGGTCTCATGACTTCATGGGGCCACAGATAGGCTGTGCAAGGTCAATAAGTGAGGGGGCAAGTGCAGCCAGAGCCTCAGTAAGAGGTTCTGGAAGAGCCAGAGGTTAAAGCAGGGGGGTTGTACATCAGGACTCCGGGGGTCTAGTCCCAGCCCTGAGAGGGTCTAAGGGTTAGAACACAGGGGGTGGGAGTCAGGGCTCCTGGGATCTATTCCCTAAAGATTTTAAACACAGGGGTTGCAGGATTGGTTCTAGGTGACGAAGCTCAGGGAAGCAATGGCTCTTAGGCTACAAGCTAGGGGAGTGATTCCCCTTCTCATGTACACAGACTTGCGCTAGTACAAATATAAATAGCAGCGTGGCCAAGGCAGCATGGGTAGCAGCAGCGGAGGCACGGCTTAGCTGTGCCAAGTACAAACCCACCGGTTTCATCTGGGTTTGTACTCAGCCCGGCTAAGCCATGCCTCTCCTGCGACTACACTGCTATTTATACTCCTGCTTTCTTGATGAGAGCTAGCACAAGTACATGTGCACGAACAGGGGAAATCAGAACCCTAGTTTACCGTGTAGCCATAGCCTTAAAGAAAGCCAGGGATAGAGGTCACCTCTTCTGGGGCGCAGTGCTGGCTGGAGGAGCTCAGGGTGGGATTTCTGAGGAAGGAAATTGCACATGGCGTGTACGTTCCACATGTTGCCAGGGAAATGGACCTTTGTTTATATTTCTGTAAATAGACAGATTACACTAAGGATTCTTTTCTTCCAAACAGAATCACACCCAATTTCAACCTATACAGAAGCAATAACAACAACAGGGGTGGCAGATTTTTACTGGGAGGCTTAAAAGCAAAGTGCCTCTAAACACAGGCAGATTTAACAAGTAGAGCCCATGTGTGGTGCCTACATTCAATTTTCTTACCGTGCCACCATCTGATCCCATTTTAAAGGGACATGACTTGCAGGGCATCCTCCAGAAAGAAAGGAGAAAAGTTCTGACACTTCTCCAACAGTCTCCTCTGCACCCTTCCAATCAGAAGTTGTCCTGAGCTGTGAAAAACACACCTGATCAACCCCATCCCTTGAATTACAGGGCAGTAATAGAGCCAGGGAATCAAGGGGCTGAGGGTTATGTTCACAAGGAAAATCAAACACCGATGAACTGGCACTAGCAGGGATCTGTGCAAGGGAGGAACTGGGATCTTCACTTGCAAAGCCCAAGGGGATTAAATTGCTCACATAAAAGCATGTAGCAACTGGATCTGAGGTACTTATATGACTCCCACCACAATAGTATCTGAGCCCCTCACTATCTTTAATGTGACAAAACCCCTCAGAGACAGGGCAGTGCTATTATCCCCAATTTACAGAGGGGAAAACTGAGGCACAGAGCAGCTAAATGACT